TGTAGGATACGAACGTTTCAATCTGTAGGACAAGTTGTTCAAGGAGATTAGTTCTTGAGTGAATGGAGTACTTTTCGTTTTAGAAATTATAAATGGTTATGAATTATATTGATAGGGGTAATCGATCGTGTTAAAGTAATTTGTCTCTTCATATAGTATTGTTGAAGTTTATAATGTTTCTATTCTATGCGCGTCCATTGTATTAATATGGGTATATATTGTCAATCACTTATAATAGTCCCATTTGGTTTCAAGCACAGTAATTATATTTGATGTATACATTACAATTGATACAGGTTATAACTCCTATATTGATAACAGTTAGGTTATGTAGGTCAGGGTATTGTTATTAATCGTTACTTCAAGTTATCAACTCTAATTGATCATTTTAATTAGTCTAGTAGAAAATCCCTCAAAATTCACATTAAAAATTTTCAAAAATTAATCATGTCAATTTTTGTTAAATATTTTGGGATATATGTAACTATCCATAATATTATTCCAATAATAACATTTTTTTGGACCATTTAAAATCGACAAACAGAGAAAAGAGTTTTTAACGATTTTTTTTTTTTTGAGAATTTTACTTTACCCGCGTCTTGTGCAAAACTGTCTTAGGCACTTTACTCGAAAAACAGCTACGTTCGTGCTCGTCGTCGAGGTTTGTCACTAATGAGAGGGGAAAAAAATGAAACTGAAGGATTCCCCCGAATTTTGACAAGAGACTTAAAGATGAGCTGACAGTAGCAGTAGTCTTGATCGTAATTGACCTTAACAAAAAAAAAAAAAAAATCATTGTCTGACAGCAGTAAGTATTTTACTAAAATGAGGAACTTTGAGGGAACTCCAATTTTCCAGTGTCATAGATCTTCAACTATTGCCTGAGTAAGCTCGGTTTAACGTGGATCGATAGGGATGCTGGAAGATAACTTGAGATTAACTCTTCCGCACTTGTCAGATTTTATTAGAAAAAAAACTCAATATCGTTCATTTTTAACATGTCACACGTTTGCGGCTTTAGCAACCGATGTTCGTCATATTGGTATAATCTATCACGTGGGTTGTGAATTGTTAAATGAATGGCGGGAAATTTGCACCAGTGTGATACACAATTCACTTGAATATCCAATATCTTATAATACCAAGTTCAAATTCACGTAAAGTACCCAATGACTCTCAGTAATATTGCGCAATAAAATATTAAAGTTAATTATTAAAGTACTCTTCTTAATTAATGTGTCTCGTTTCAATGGCTGCGAGAATTCAGGCGAAGGCCAAAGGGATGTAGGAACGAACGATATTAATGAGAAATAAAAATTTTCATTAAAATATTATATACAGGTATATTCATTCCACCTTAATGAAATTTTAATGACGACTACCTACTTACTGATCGCTCTTATTGTCAAAGAACGTTCGTTTACGTCGCCTTTGTTTTCAGACGAGAACTTCGAGCTCTTCGAGTTTTCCTATCCGGCGTGCAGAGAAAGTCTGTCCTCCCAGTACGAGAGATTATTTTTCAACTTTTTCATTAGCGCAGCACTTAGTAGCTTCAACTTTAGATCATTTCGAAAATAACCGGAAGTCGGTCATAGGTCGAAGAGAAAAGTTCATCTAGTTAGTTGCACACGAGCTTCCGACATCAATAAAATCACTTATAACGTGATTTACGACAAGCTTATCAAAAAATAAACACCTGACACTCAATCAACAGATTACATTATCACGCCTCGACTGTAACAAAAATTGTTCAAAATATTCCTAAATTCAATACAAACATATCCAAAAGTAGATATATCGCTCGGACTGAAATTTGATTCCAACATAAACTGCACCACTTGTATTCATGCCTGTGTGAACCAAAAATGCACTTGGTGAATTTTAAAGTACAATGAAATTCTCCGTGAAAAATCAATAAACACCATATAGCAGCTTTAATCCGATAACACATATTCCGCACCAGCATCGAGTCTTATCGAGAATTCTATTAGCATAGAAATTATGGAAATCGAATTAGAATTCAACGACACTATTCCACCCTTGTCAGCCTGGTTTACGTCAGCATACCGAGCGAACACTTATGCTGGAATGTTACCCCCAATATATAGCATCATCTGGCGTTGAATAATGAATCTGAAAAAGATCCACCTACAGTAGAGAAATAAGCATACAAGTAGATTCTCGCAATCCCCCCAATATTTTCTGAGGTTCCGTCAAGAACAAAAACACTAGAAAAATGCAACGACGTAAAAAAAAAAATAAAAAAAAAATAAGCTAGACAAGAAAATTATCAAAACTTAGAATCACTCGACGATACCAGGTTAAGTGTTCATCCTCGTGTAAAACCACGTGCTTAGTTTTGTCTCGGGATCAAAGGAACAAAGATAACGTGAAAGTCCTCAGGCAACGTACCGTTCGAAGCCAATAAATTTTTATTTATATTTCAATTCTCGAATAAAATACATTGCGGCTCCGTGTATAGATATACTTAGCAACAGTGCGAATGAAGATATAGTATTATACAAGGACGGAAATAAGGATATTGGAAAATGTAATGTGGCTATGGGTAACGAATGGCTGGTAGCTCCTGTTAACGTCTTCTTGTCTATATATATTACATACACGTCCTGGGTACCATTTGAGAATATCAATGTTACCCAAAGTATACAAGTCACGTATATCCCACACTTTAATTAAGTTTAACGGAGGTCACAGTGTGACGTAATAAATGAGGGGTCATTTCAAGAAACCGAAAACCAAAACCGAGTTACTAGGTAGAACGGGTACAATATAATAAATACAATGCTAATTAAGTTAACAAATATTGGCAGCATATAGGCCGACGGAAATTAAAAGTTTCCAAGATGACGTCATTGACAAAATTCCCTGCTGAACAATGCTTATGGCATTACGTGTATACCGTGCATTAAAAATGTCAGAGATAGAGGGGTCCACCATTGAAAGGATCAACCCTTTTCTGCTTAACGTGGACCCACAGCTTCCCTTATTGTTTCGACATAAACACAATACCTTTTCAAGACAATGAGAACCGTGTACATCCAAGGGAGCCTGGTTAGATACGGCAAATGGCAACTTTGGCTATACTTTGGATCCTGGCATTAGTGACCTTATTAGCAACGGCACAAAAGTTCAAACCAAACTGGTTCATTAGCTGTCGGATATCAAAGTCAGCCTCCTACGCTTTGATAGGATCTCTACTTTATTGGAATACTCGTGCGGAAATCATTCTATATCTGATCCAAGGATGGTCTAACCTGACCTCGGGTACGACTTAACCCAACCTAACCTCAATTTGACGTAACGGCCACTGGTGACTCTACCATTCTACCGTGACCCCTCAGATCTTCAGGGAAAATAAAATTTATTTTACTTTTTCAAAATCGACAGTCCACACACGACCGCCACTTTTTTCGTTCCAACGATCTACTTCCGAATCTTTACCAAATTGCGTATTTCGTTTACTCTCCTAGAGCAAAGGAACAGGGAACAAATGTATTGTCTGCTCTGATAGCCAATGCCGAGTCGGATAATGCGAAGAAGATACTGGATCTTGAACTCAAACTGCTGAATTATTCATAGGACGATTCGGCTACGTTTGGCCAATATAAGGTAAAACGTAAGAAAACTTGTAATCAAAATACAAGGGGAAAAGAATTTGAAATATTCATACTCCGCCTCGTTACAGTGCGTATGGAGAATGATACGAAATATTATTCCATATACGGATATATTAATACATGATAAATTCATGTAAATATTAATTAAAGATTCGTTGCGAAGTATTATGCCTATTTATAAAGAGAACAATGTAAACTGCCTATAATGTGAATAAATTTAGTGCTTCGATTCGTTATCGTTATATATATCGGGGATATAATAATACTATACAATATAGTTATAATCAAAGCTCTAGTACAGGATGCATATAATTTCCAGATGTTACGAACACACATGACACAACACGCATGTAACAAAAATAATTTTCTACATAAAATCAGCATACGATGCAACGTAATTATTTACTAATTTTGAAAATATATATAATAAATAATAACAATCTATACAACGTGGACAATATTTTTGCTTTATCTTACCGAAATTTCAATTGGCATCGATCAGCACGTATCGAAGCCTTCACAAAGCTATGGGAGTATAATTCATCGATGTGTCTGGTAAGCACATATAACGCGTGTATTATCTACGAATACGATGTCACGTATAGTCTATTCACTTTGCGCTAATCAATCCCAATTGCACGCTATTGCGAAACATGTACGATAGGTATTTGTGGTCGAAATTTAATCCAGCATCCACACAGTGCATCTTGCGTTCCCGTTAATCTCATTACAGCACGTCCCCTGTAAGTCATAGTAACTAGAGACACACGAGTATCTCTATACGAATGGAGTAAATAGAATGAATAAAAAAAAAAGAGGCCATATAATTTTCGCAAATAAGCAAATTTGCGAGTCGACTATCGCAGTTGCAATTTTGCTAGCATATTTAATCCGTCACGTTTCTGCTCTTTCTAAAGTGACGGTAGTACGTGAACGAGTTGGCTTTTCACTAAATAGAACAGAAGATGCAAAATGCATAATACACTTATATACGAAAGAAGTCATTTTCACTAGAAAGAAGCACGTTTTAGTTTACGCAAGAAATTTACGTATGTCTCTCGCGCAGCTTCTTTGTGAGCATACGAGTACATGGAATATGTACGTAGGCATGTCCTTGGAGAGTGTTCCATGTCCCTGACGGCTTTTAAACCGACTACAAAACTGCATCAGCCGTCGTATATTCACATAAGTTACATAACGTTGGTTCTAACCTGTTAGGCAGGATATGTTGCGGTACCATGCTGGATGCACTTATGTAAAATTCAAAGGGACGCCTTATATACAATTTCATGGACCACGTGTACGGCAACCCGTGACTTTGGAAATAATGTATCGGTTTGAAAAAAAAAAAATGAATGTTTTGTCAAAGATTTTGTCATGCTGGGAGGTTATTGAAAAAAAATTGTCAAAATTTTCTATACCCTTATTTGTACCTTTATCGAGAAGCTTTCGGTATGATGGGTGACTAAGGGATTATTCGAGGCAAAGTTGTATCGCGTGACAAGATTATTTATATTGAACTACATTATGAATTTATATTAGATATTTTAGATATGACTGTTGCAGGATATACGAAGGGAACCTTAGCTGAATCGTGCGATAAGAACCCCATTGACTGCGTACATTACCCAATAGATTGATGTTAAGGGTGATTCTCACAGGTACGTGGGATAATGTAAATACACTTTTAATATCAGGCACAAGGGTCAATTAAATGTTTTCTTTAAGGCATATCTCACCAGATCAATAAATTTATCATGAGAATTCTAGTTACTTATCTCGTGGCAGATCTTCTCTATAATTTCTTCTAATCGCCCTTATCTACCTTCGTTTCCAGGAATAGCTATAAAAATAAATGGCAGGTCTGATAACAGAAGACGTGGAAATGGATCTGCAAATTGCATAGGAACAGCCATAACGAGGCGACCTGCTATGAAGGACGAATATGGGAAAAATTGGTCGTGTATTTTCTTGAGGTTCAATATCTTGGTCACTATGGCGAATCTTTCGACCGAGCATGTGTTCTCTAAGTTAAAAAAAAAATAGAAATTCTTAACTTCACTAAAATCACTGCAAATATATTTCAGAAACCAGAGTGACAACAGGCAAGTTAACGACTTCATGATTATTCATGGGGATGATTAAGCCTTCGTTACACTATACCACGCTTAATCTTGGTATTACTTCATATCTCTTCGCATGCAGCTAATTTTCGTCTACGGAGAAAATTCTAATTTACGCAACGTAAGTTGATCAGGGTTTAAATCACTCTGATCTATCTCGTTAAATAGAAAGTACAAGCATTGAGTAGTACGAAGTTATCGTTAAATCGAAAGCTTCCACATTGTTAAACGAGCACGTGTTAAAGGATGCCCAACGTCCCGACAACCCTGATGCCTCACAGAGACTCCTTTGGTCTAACGCTAAGTGCAACGTATACGGATGGAAGCTGAACGAATAATTAAATATTTTTTCATGTGGTTATTAATTACTAAATTTTGTAATGATTTATCTTTACATATAGCACCACGATGCTTAAATTGTTCATTGTATATATAGCTAAGTAAAGATATCCAGAGATTTAGGTACAGCCAAAGAGCCAGCCTGATTGTTGTAGGCTCCCCAAGTACCAATCCATAACCATTATATAGATTGGCTTTGGGTGGCCGCACTTATCCTCTGATTAATGCTGTCAAAGCCAGCGGGACTAATGGCGCCAAGAGCTAACTGGAATTCGCACGGATTTATCTCTCGTGGGATCATCCTGGATTTTCGTGAAGTCGCAAGTAAAATTTTCGAAAGTTCCTCAAGAACGAAAATTCGAGAAGACTTCGAAATTGAGGATCGATAATTAGAAGAATTCTTATGACACTTAAATTTTATAGTCAAGTTACATTGATCGATGGAACTCGTTAGGTTCTCTACGTGGAGCAGCCTGACAAAGTATCTATAAATAACTTGCGTAATATCGACGGCAAGTAACACGTGCGCTTCCTAACGCAGTTTAAATTAATTTCCAAGACAAAACAGCTGTGCTCGCTGGATTTTATTATGTATACTTTTGCTATAAACCCGAGACTCGTCAAAAGCGAATTATTTTACGGGAAAGAAATTTATCTTCGTAAATCTTTTTTTTTCTCGTTGGAAACTTTATTCAATGGGAAATAATTGAATTATTTTTTAAGGCTCCAAGGATCTGAATAGGCATTAATGCATTGAATGGATTAATCAACTTTTCTGAAGGAATCTTAATAAGAGTATTGTTATACTCGGCATTTTTATTATAAAAAGAAAAGGTTCACGTGATACTCGGTTAGGAACCCTGTGGTAAGTATAAAGGAGAGTGTCATACAGTCAAGGGAGAATATGTACGTATATACATAAAAAGTGAAAAAAGCTTCTTTTCAAGAAAAGATATAAAGCAGCCACAGCGATACATTATGCACATTGTCCGCGCTGTTTCTGAGAAGGAAGTAGTAAAAATTGTAGCCCATAAAAAAGTTGTACACGAAAACATCGTCTACATCATTTAGACGAAGACAATTCGACTGGAAATTGCAAATATTTCTACAGATCGCGCATCGTAAAAAATAAAAAAATAAAAAAAAGACAAAATATTGATCATGCGTTTACGTAACGTAAAGATAAACGGCGAAGACTGTTAAAAATGGAGAACGAAGGAACTGAAAGCAATAGAATTCGAAAAGTTGACAAAATAGTATACACTAAGGCTATATGATTTTTCAATAAAATAATCGCGTGACGTAAGAGATAATCTGAGGAAAAAAAAACTTTTCCCGTACAAAACCATTCAGACTCCAAAAGCATAGATAAGAAAAATTCGTAGCCCATTTGCCAAAATAATCCCAATATAATTGAGGAAGTGGACAACGCTCGGCCCATGTTTACTTTGCTTCGCCATTATTTTTGATCCTTGCAATTAACGGTCCAGCTCGTTCTCGGACTGGTGAATTTTTGCTGAAACCCAAAAAAACGTTTTAAAATCTGGCACAGAAATTCTAGGGGCAATTTAACTCCGTGAATAACTACATTGTTTCTGTAAACGTCATTAAACGAGAATGAAGCCCGACGGCTTTTCGGCAAAGTTTACGGAACAATACCTCCAAGGAATTTCATTCTCTCAAACCAGAAGGCACAATCTTTTGGTATTTCGATAACATTCCCGCTTCAGTTTTCCCTTTGTGAAACGAAGCTTCCGATTTAACGTTATAACGTTGAAAACCGATGAACACGGATCGCGTATCACGTGCCTCGAATATTTTTCAGTCACGCCGATACGCAAAAAAGTGTCAATGTGAGAAAGCAGTGGGAAACGATACGAAGTGAGCCACAATTTTATCTTATCAAGGATACTTACATTCATAAGGCACCATCGACAAAAATATCCTTCAGACGTAACTGGAGCAAAAGTCATTTCGTAAAGCGGAACCAATAGGAACCGCGATGATTCCACTTTCGTGCACCAAAGACCAACTTCAGAGAATCCAAGTAGAATATCAGCCTCTAAATGTTCAGAGCATCGTAGGTTCGTATAACCAAAGAAAGGATCCTTTATCGGCAATTCACGTCGTTCATCCATAATATTTCTCTTTTTCCTTCTTAGGGGTGTCCGTGCGTGACTTTAATGTATAATAGATTTGAGATAAATTCAGAATTGTATAAAAAAAAACAAGTCACTGTCTTAATAATACAAATTTTCCGATAGACCAATTCCTGGAATTTTGTTTATCTCGGGACTTTGGTCAAATATTTTTTCTATATATGCTTTTGAACGAATGATTGATGACTCGTGTGACTCTACTGATGCGATAACCACGTATCGCCGTGACATCGTATCAAATGAAAAATAATATTACGTCAAAGTGACTTTCAGAGTCGTATGAAATTCTCTTCGAAATCAATATGTTCACGGTATGTCGAGTTAATCAACAAAAACGTACCACCTGAAGTTTGCAGCGCCCATTTAATTCTTATGTTAAAGCCGCGTTCAGGTTTTTCAATTCGGGCTTAATAACCAGGTATACATATACATGTTTGTGTTTGACGCTCGTAGAACGACATTACCCGCCGCGAACTCCAGTTTGCGCTTTAATAATTTCTTGCAAGATTAATGGCCGCCGGTACAGGATAAAGGAAAGTAGCACGTACTTGCGCTAAACAAACAGCAATATTAAACAACGTTTCATCAAAGTTTTTTCAAGTGTTTCCATCCGGTACAGACATTCTTTATTTTTCGGCTGTTTTCCATTTACGAATTGGGTTCTTCTGGTTTTACCAAATCCAACCTCTACTGCACCCCCAAGACAGCCTGATCAAGTTATTTGAATAATGGTATGTGCGTATCCCACGTTGCTGATATAATTCATCAACAAGATAAATTACTATGATATTATACCGACTCTGAGCAGAAATTGGATGTATGTGAATTTTTTTTTTTTTTTTAATATAGGGTGACTCAAATAGCGAATATACAGGCCTCAATAATTGGATGCGTTTACGCAAATTATATTTATATATAGTAATATCTAACAGGAATGTCTCGTTCATTGGAGGCATTTCTTAAGGTGTTCTTATACTTGTGGATTTATTCTATCGCAACGTAGGTGTATATATTAAACGAAATTCGGTAAATGAAATTAAACTTTTCATCTACCGCGTCATTCGAGGATTAAAACGGGAGCGAAGCCACTCAGCGAGTGCGGAAACTTCGTTAAGAACTTGACGAGAGCTCATAAAAAAAAGACGAAGAGATACGTTTCAAGGAAGAATAAAGAAAATTGATACCGAAACGAATATAGAAGCGCGAAGGTACTTCCAACGGTAGGTCCAAATTAAGAATTTTTAACAGCCTTCTTCGATCCTGAAAAATTTCACGATATGAATACTGAAAGGAATAACTAATTTTAATTCCAGGAAGTGGATCTCCACTTACACTTGATATTCCATAAGGTTTTGTAAAACATACAATACCAGTAAGTATCAGAACCAACCGTTACTCTAAAAATGTAAATTTGTATATTTTAGAGGAAATAATAAAATGCTCAAGTATACAGGGTGAGGCGCGAGAAACAGAACACCTAAATAACTTTATTGGATTTAAAGATACGGAGTTCGCAAATATCGGAATTTAAATGATTCGGAAGGGCGCCCATGGCTATCATAATATTTTTTTTTTAATTTCTTTTTTTACCAGTTTTTTCATGGTTATCAGAGTTTTTTTAAATGGAATGGCACATTTTTTCTCCTTGCACATTGTAGCCGGCATCCAAACGAATCCAACCATGTAACATAGTATGACCTTCAAATGACCTCCAACCCAGAAATATGAAATTAAAACTAATTCGACGTGTTAGAGATTTGGCTTTATTTCTGTTACGCTAAATGTTCAAAATTACTCCCTTGCACGGCGATACATTTGTGAAACCGTGTAGTAACAGAATTTACTACTCTGTAGTTAATTTCTAATTTCGAAGTCTATCATGAACGACCAACCACTGCAGAGAACATGAAAGAAAGAATCACCAGGGCTTGTGCATCGATTTCTTTAGAAATTAACTACAGAGTAGTAAATTCTGTTACTACACGGTTTCACAAATGTATCGCCGTGCAAGGGAGTAATTTTGAACATTTAGCGTAACAGAAATAAAGCCAAATCTCTAACACGTCGAATTAGTTTTAATTTCATATTTCTGGGTTGGAGGTCATTTTGAAGGTCATACTATGTTACATGGTTGGATTCGTTTGGATGCCGGCTACAATGTGCAAGGAGAAAAAATGTGCCATTCCATTTAAAAAAACTCTGATAACCATGAAAAAACTGGTAAAAAAAGAAATTAAAAAAAAAAATATTATGATAGCCATGGGCGCCCTTCCGAATCATTTAAATTCCGATATTTGCGAACTCCGTATCTTTAAATCCAATAAAGTTATTTAGGTGTTCTGTTTCTCGCGCCTCACCCTGTATACTCAAAAAAAAACATAATAATAGTAATTCCCTGCATTAACCAAACTTAAAATTCTTTTCTTTTCTATAATAATAATATTTCGTCAGCCAAAATAGAGTTTACTCAAATTACCCAAATAAGCAGACACGTGCTGAAATGACATAGAGACTGATAAAAATTCCAGGAAAAATCCGTTTTTTCACTGGTACGCTATAAATCATCGAAATATCCAGGGATAAGGCAGTCCTGTGAATTGAGGTCATGTGGATATAATTTTTACTTTTCTCACGCACGTGTGGAATCGGTGAGACGTTGACGTCCAAGTAAAATGAATCTCTAATCTGGAATTCCACTGGGTTATCTGACCTTATGAACCTTCGTATGTGTAGAAGTACTATATTCGGGTCTCATGGGTCCACAGCATCTTGATTCAAGGAATCCCAAACAAACTTTATCAGAAGTCCTGCGAACAAGAGTAGTGTTACAATTGTGAAACACCATTTTCCCGGAAGTTGCAAATGTTTTGAGTTCAGCCACGAAAAGTCATATTTCCTTATTCAACCAGCCGT